TGCCAATGAACATCTGAATGATTTAGAGGAGAACTGGGTGAAAGTGTTGTGGTCAGATGAGACCAAAATCGAGCTCTTTGGCATCAACTCAACTCGCCGTGTATGGAGGAGGAGGAATGCTGCCTATGACCCCAAGACCACCATCCCCACCGTCAAACATGGAGGTGGAAACATTATGCTTTGGGGGTGTTTTTCTGCTAAGGGGACAGGACAACTTCATCGCATCAAAGGGACGATGGACGGGGCCATGTACCGTCAAATCTTGGGTGAGAACCTCCTTCCCTCAGCCAGGGCATTGAAAATGGGTCGTGGATGGGTATTCCAGCATGACAATGACCCAAAACACACGGCCAAGGCAACAAAGGAGTAGCTCAAGCAGGTAGCTTAAGGTCCTGGAGTGGTCTAGCCACAGTCTCCAGACCTTAATCCCACAGAAAATCTGTGGAGGGAGCTGAAGGTTCGAGTTGCCAAACGTCAGCCTCGAAACCTTAATGACTTGGAGAAGATCTGCAAAGAGGAGTGGGACAAAATCCCTCCTGAGATGTGTGAAAACCTGGTGGCCAACTACAAGAAACGTCTGACCTCTGTGATTGCCAACAAGGGTTTTGCCACCCAAGTACTAAATCATGTTTTGCAGAGGGGTCAAATACTTATTTCCCTCATTAAAATGCAAATCAATTTATAACATTTCTGACATGCGTTTTTCAGGATTTATTTGTTGTTATACTGTCTCTCACTGTTCAAATAAACCTACCATAAAATTTATAGACTGATCATGTCTTTGTCAGTGGGCAAACGTACAAAATCAGCAGGGGATCAAATACTTTTTTCCCTCACTGTATATATATATATATATATATATATATATATATATATATATATGAAGTACCAGTCAAAGGTTTGGACACACCTACTCATTCCAGGATTTTATTTTTACTATTTTCTACATTGTAGAATAATAGTGAAGACATCAAAACTATGAAATCCCACATATGGAATCATGTAGTAAACAAAAAAGTGTTAAACAAATCAAAATATATTTTATATTTGAGATTCTTTAAATAGCCACCCTTTGCCTTGATGACAGCTTTGCACACTCTTGGCATTCTCCCAACCAGCTTCACCTGGAATGCTTTTCCAACAGTCTTGAAGGAGTTCCCACATATGCTGAGCACTTGTTGGCTGCTTTTCCTTCACTATGCGGTCCGACTCATCCCAGCTGTCATCAAGGCAAAGGGTGGCTATTTGAACAATCTCAAATATAAAATATATTAATATAAACACTTTTTTGTTTACTACATGATTCCATATGTGTTATTTCATAGTTTTGATGTCTTCACTATTATTCTACAATGTAAAAAATCATAAAAATAAAGACAAACCCTTGAATGAGTATGTGTGTCCAAACTTTTGACTGGTAGTGTTTATACACATTTATATACAAAAGTATTGGGACACCCCTTCAAATTAGTGGATTCAGCTATTTCAGCCACACCTGTTGCTGACAGGTTTATAAAATCGAGCACACAGCCGTGCAATCTCCACGAAAGCTCTCCACCATTGGACTCTGGAGCAGTGGAAACACGTTCTCTGGAGTGATGAATCAAGCTTCACCATCTGGCAGAAAAACTAATGAATGAGTATTCAGACCCCTTCCCCTTTTCCACATTTTGTTACGTTACAGCCTTATTCTAAAATGGATTAAATAAATACAAAAATCCTCATCAATCTACACACAATACCCCATAATGACAAAGCGAAAAAAGGTTTATACATTCTTTCAAATCTATATAAAAAAAATAGTATTTCAGACACTTTGCTATGAGACTCGACATTGAGCTCAGGTGCATCCTGTTTCCATTGATCATCCTTGAGATATTTCTAAAACTTCATTGGAGTCCACCTGTGGTAAATTCAATTGATTGGACATGATTTGGAAAGGGACACGCCTGTCTATATAAGGTCCCATAGTTGACAGTGCATGTCAGATTAAAAACCTAGCCATGAGGTCGAAGGATTTGTCCGTAGAGCTCCGAGACAGGATTGTGTCGAGGCACAGATCTGGGGAAGGTTACCCAAAACATTTCTGCAGCATTGAAGCTCCCCAGGAACACAGTGGCCTCCATCATTCTTAAATGGAAGAAGTTTGGAACCACCAAGACTCTTCCTAGAGCTGGCCGCCCGGCCAAACTGAGCAATCGGGGAGAAGGGCCTTGGTCAGGGAGGTGACCAAGAACCCAATGGTCACTCTGACAGAGCTCCAGAGTTCCTCTGTGGAGATGGGAGAACCTTCCAGAAGGACAACCATCTCTGCAGCACTCCACCAATCAGGCCTTTATGGTAGAGTGGCCAGGTGGAGGTCACTCCTCAGTAAAAGGCACACGACAGCCCAATTGGAGTTTGCCAACAGGCACCTAAAGGACACTCAGACCATGAAAAACAATATTCTCTGGTCTGATGAAACCAAGATTGAACTCTATGCCAAGCGTCACGTCTAGAGGAAACCAGGCACCGCTCATCACATGGCCAATACCATCCCTTGGCTCCACATATAAGCAAAGCCTTCTGAACATAATAGGAGTGAGCCTATAGAGATATCCGATTCACTGGATACAGTATAGAGATGTTATATACAGTGCCTTCAGAAAGTATTCACACCCTTTTACTTTTTCCTTATTTTGTTGTGTTACAGCCTGAATTTAACATTTATTATTGAGATTTTGTGTCACCTGATCTACACACAGTACCCCATTATGTCAAAGTGGAATGTTTAAAAATAAAATTACAAATTAATGGAAAATGAAAAGCTGAAATGTCTTTACTCAATAAGTGTTCCACCCTGTTGTTATGGCAAGCCTAAATACGTTCAGAAGTAAATATTTGCTTAATAAGTCACATAATAAGTTGCATGGACTCACTGTTTGTACCCCTTCAGAAAGTATTCATACTTTTGAATACTGTAAAAAGTACAAATAGTATCAAAAAGTTGTATGCAAGCAACCTAATCCAGATCAGTTTACACATTTTAAAGTTTGAAAGGCCTTTCTAGCTTAAGCGGTGTAAGTGGAGTAGCATCTCTAGAGGGTTAATGGCTGTGATAAGAGAAAACTGAGGATGTATCAACAACGTTGTAGTTTCTCCACAATACAAACCTAATTGACAGAGTGAAAAGAAGGAAGTATGTACCACGCTTACAGATCTGAGAGGTTTGGATAGGTGGAAGCAATATGGCGACATCTCAACCCAGCCTTTTATCATAATGCTTTACCAATCCTCTCAAATCTACAAATGCCTTGGGTCGATTTGGAATTCAGCACTACTGTTTTTGATAACTGTTCTCGCTCATGATTTCTTCTCATTGGTCCACAGGGACAACATTATCCAGCCAATGGGAGTGAATGCTGAAGGGAAGCTGTGTAAATATATAAATATTTCATCAATTGTATTTTTGGACAGCTACAATGACAATACAGAGTGAAGAATGTAGATTAAAACACGTTTTAAATGTATTTTTTATTTATTGTATTCTGAATTAGTCTCATAGCAGCATACAGTTAAGTCTAGTCTTATGGAGATACCGAGTGGTTTTGAAAACGAGATGAGATTGTTATTATGAGTGATGCATTGAATCTCATACATACATGCTATGCTATTGGCCAGTAAACATTTAAATAAAGTTGTGAAATCCATTGTACCATATTACAGTTATTATTTATTAAGACTGTTAAGTGCAATAGATGCCATGGCTATGCATTACCTCTATTTATCCTCAATGAATAATCCTGCACTGGTGCTCACAACTTTAAAAAGTCAGGAGCACAACATAAAATGTAGGAGCACCAGAAAAGTGGATTTTAAAATTGATTGAGATTAAACCACATCAGGAGGGCACATTTGAGGTCTGGGAAAAATCTAAGAAATGTACATTTTTGAGTGTAGCAACATGCACCTATAGCAATACATAGACTGTTGTTTGGTTAGCGGTGTTTCTGGAGTCCACGTGTGCAGAGTCAGCAACAGAAAAGTTGCTTGATCGAATCCCCAAGCCGACAACATAAAAATCTGTCGCTCTGCCTGAGCAAGGCAGTTAACCCCCAACAACAACTGCTTCCCAGGCACTGATGATGTCGATTACGGCAGCCCCCCGCACCTCTCTGATTCAGAGGGGTTGGGTTAAATGCGGAACACACATTTCAGTTGAATGCATTCAGTACAACTTTCCCTTTCTCAATGGGTTGATGGAAATCATCATGATATGTTTCTGCCAGGTAGGCATAGGCTACTTTGTAGTAGTTCATTTTAATTGAGAAGGTTTTTGGGAAAGCATTTCCATCTACCAGAAGGCAGTTATCATTAGTATCGCTAATGGCTACACAAGGTGGTAGACATATGCACGAACCGCACATATACGAATCACTGATGCATTCTGTTCATGTCTTATGGTATACATGGGTAAATTAATTAATCTTTTGAACTGTTTGGGCTAGAAACGATCAGTTTCGATTTAGCTTAGTAATGGTGCAAGTTGCAACTATAACGCTAACTAATCTGTGCAGGCTTTTTTCTCTAAGGCACTAGGAAACAACGGTACAGCGAAGTCTAATCATTACAACAATTATTATCTGCGTGATTCTTTTTCTAGGCCTGGAATAAAATTCCAGGTTGCCAGCAAAATATTTTAGGAGCATATGCGACCACAATAGTCGCAGTTTAGAGCCCTGCATGCCTTGTTGATAACAGTATCAATGAACAACATGAGAAGAAAAACCCCAAACCCCAGAGTGGGGATCCCTATTAGACATGTTTACAATGAAGCTTAAATGCTTATTTAACCCATTCCCCCTCACATACTGTTGATTTGGTACTGAACAGTTGATCCGATATGGTCATACAAAATAGTAAACGTTGTGACTAATGCCGAGTGGACATTTATGATAGAAGGGATACTCAGTATTTGTACATATTCCACAGCGAACCCTTATAGGTGGATCAGTCCCTCTTTAGCACAAGTCCATCATCTCCTGCAGGGACTCCTGCAAGGACAGCTGCAGTTCCACAGACTGCAGAGAGGAGGCACCACCTTCCACCGCCATTGACTTCAGTAGCTCCAGAGCGGTTAACACCACCTGACAGAGAGAAAGCGCATGAGTTAAAACACATGCAGAGAAAACAAAACAGAAGTGTGTGCAGGGGCGGACTCACAGTATGGGACAGCCGAGTGCTGAAGCGCGTAAAAATAGTCTGTCCTCGGTTACAACACTCACTACCGAGTTCTAAACTGCCTCTGGAAGCAACGTCAGCACAATAACTGTTTGTCGGGAGAGCTTCATGAAATGGGTTTCCATAACCGAGCAGCCGCACACAAGCGTAAGATACCATGCGCAATGCCAAGCGTCGGCTGTAGTGGTGCAAAGCTCGCCGCCATTGGACTCCGGAGCAGTGGAAATGCGTTCTCTGGAGTGATGAATTACACTTCACCATCTGGCAGTCTGACTGACAAATCTGGGTTTGGCGGATGCAAGGAGAACACAACCTGCCCGAATGCATAGTGCCAACTGTAAAGTTTGGTGGAGGAGGAATAATGTGGAGGAGGAATAATGGTCTGGGGCTGTTTTTCATGGTTCGGGCTAGGCCCTTCAGTTCCAGTGAAGGGAAATCTTAACGCTACAGCATTCAATGACATTCTAGATGATTCTGTGCTTCCAAATTTGTGGCAACAGTTTGGGGAAGGCCCTTTCCTGTTTCAGCATGACAATGCCCCTGTGCACAAAACGAGGTCCATACAGAAATGGTTTGTCGAGATCGTTGTGGAAGAACTTGACTGGCCAACACCAACCATGAGCCAGACCTAATCGCCCAACATCAGTACCCGATCTCACTAATGCTCTTTTGGGTGAATGGAAGCAAGTCCCAGCAGCAATGTTCCAACATCTAGTGGAAAGTCTTTTCAGAAGAGTGGATGCTGTTATAGCAGCAAAGGGGGGACCAACTCCCTATTAATGCCCATGATTTTGGAATGAGATGTTCGACGAGCAGGTGTCCACATACTTTTGGTCATGTAGTGTATATCCGTTTAGCTTTATTTGCGATGTCGACCAATACCGATATATTTTTGGCCTTTTTAACCATTCTAGCACAGATACAAACTGCAACCAGGTTTCTATGTTTATAAGGCTAATAAGAAAATATGTCAAATGACTTGAATATGTTAAAGGTGTAACAATTTATATTTTCATCAAAAGGTGAGTGAAATGCATCAGAAAGGTATTGGAAAGTTCGGGAAAACATCAGGGATGATCATCAGGTAATAATTGTGTGTGTAGAAAAGGTTTTGTCAGTCCCTTCTAATGTGTTCTGCACGGCTTGGGAACGTCGTATAGAGAAATAGCAGACATGTACATGTTCCTGAGAGTTTCAACTTTCAGGAATAGGGTCATAATAGCTAAATAGCCCCAACCGTAGAGCAGATTCCGGAGGAAGAAAACAGAAACCGCTCCGTTTGTCACAACTGCTAATAGTGCACATCGTAGGTTACTAACAAGCGTAGGTGGTCCTCGAGCGGAGGAGGATGGCAAGATAACAGAAATTATGCATTATTAAACAAAATTATGCCAAGTTCACGAGGCCTGCTGATGACTGTGTGTGTGTGTCTCACCTCGACCATGACCAGTTTCTTCTCCCAGGGTCTGTTGTCCGGGTCTGGCCACTTCTCTCCCAGACAGAAGAATAGAGAGAAGGGGGGACATTCTCCTTCATGACTGTTCATGAACTTCAACAGCCCTGGAGAAAGAAGGGAAGAGGGTGAAGGGATTTGAAGGTCAGTGCCAGAGAACTACACATCTACCTGAAAGACTGAGTCACTCACTCACTCACTCTCAAGTTCAGTATTTTACAACTTAATGTTAGATGTTTCCTAACCCTGAAAGTCGTCTATGGGCGAGGAGAAACTGTAAAGCCAAAATCACACGGGGGACGTCCGTCGATGGCGTGAATTTGCGCGTGAGAGAGTCGCAAGCATTAATTCACATACACAGCGTAGTGTACACCTGCGTTGTCATGAAAAGTAATTCTAAAAAGTTGTACTCTCTCTTGAAATCGGAGTTACCTCATTCCTCAAGTTTCCCAGCCGTAGTCTAGGCTATATCCCCATCAAATTTAACACAGGTAGGCTGCTGCATTGTTTTCAAATAGGTAGCCTATTTGTCAGATAGGCCTAAACCATAGCCTACAGCCCAATATATTTTTAACCATACAATTTTACTTAGCTAAGTAGGGAAGATCATAACAATTCCTTGAATTCCCTTTCTACAAACGACCCACACAATCTCTAGACCAAATTTGATTCATTTGAACCAAGGCACTCAATAACCATGCACTTTGAACTGTATGAATCAAATTGGCTGTAAGCAACAGTGATACCGACAAGGAATGATATTGACAATGTGATATATAATTCCGAAACACAATTCAGCTCGTGACGCAGTTGATGCCCACGGCCTGTCTGTTTTCTCTTATTCACTCCCATCCATTCTATTTCCAGTGTAAACACACTCGTTCACACGCATATAAAAAAAAAAATACACTACCCGTGTGATTTGGGCTTAATCCGTGGTTAGGTTTTCTTCACTAAAAACTTCAGCTATCTTAAGCAACTGCTAGCTAAAAATCGATGGATATGGGCAACCGTTAAAGGTTTTCCACCCTGGGGGGACGACTATTTTCCAGAGCTAAACAACCGTATCACTTTCTGCGCATGAGTTACTTTAGGCAAACAAAAATTACGTAGCCGCTGCTCCCCCTTCCCCTTTATTACTGTCAATCGTGAATTATAATTCTTTACGTTTTACCAGTGAAATGTCCATGTAGCATCTGCATGGCAACCATATAATCTCAATCAGTTTCATGGCAATATATATTTAGATCTTCTTGAATTATGTACAGTGTTGTTTCGTGACCGATTTCTTTTAGCAGATGGTGTTAACAAACTGTTGCATACCTGTGTTTTGTTTCAAACAAAGCACATATTTTGCCTAGTGGTGTGCGCTGTTGAGTTTTGGCCGCATCTGAGAAAAATGCGATCATGTCATTTATAGTTACAACAGACAAAGAACAGGATGAGAACAGGAAGAGAGCCAAAAGCAGCAGCAGAGGGAGCAGGGGAGCTATGTAGAAAAATAGTGTGTGAAGTAGCATATGCGCAGAAGGTACGGACGGCTGTTTAGCTATCGGGAAGAGGTGTCCAGATAATCTGGTCACACAGCCAATCCGTTTTGAAAATTGCAAGGTCGCTCCTATCACTCCCATTGATCTTTAGCTAGCGGTGGCTAAAGTTAGCTGAAGTTTGTACTGGGTGAAGCTGAAACATGGACTACAGTTTCTCCTGGCCCATAGACTACTTTCAGGTTGAGGAACCATCTTACAATAAATAAATACTGAACTTCCCCTTTAAGAAGTTTCTAAAAAAATTAATCTGTCTCAGTTTTCAGTACCAGTCAAAGGTTTGGACACACCTATTCATTCAAGGGTTTTTCTTTATTTTTTACTATTTTCTACATTGTAGAATAATAGTGAAGACATAAAAATTATGAAAAATACACACATGGAATCATGTAGTAACCAAAAAAAAAGTGTTAAACAAATCAAAATATATTTTATATTTGAGATTCTTCAAATAGCCACCCTTTGCCTTGATGACAGCTTTGCAAACTCTTGGCATTCTCTCAACCAGCTTCACCTGGAATGCTTTTCCAACAGTCTTGAAGGAGTTCCCACATATGCTGAGCACTTGTTGGCTGCTTTTCCTTCACTCTGCCATCCGACTCATCCCAAACCATCTCAATTGGGTTGAGGTCGGGGGATTATGGAGGCCAGGTCATCTGATGCAGCACTCCATCACTCTCCTTCTTGGTAAAATATCCCTTACACAGTCTGGAGGTGTGTTGGGTCATTGTCCTGTTGAAAAACAAATGATAGTCCCACTAAGCCCAAACCAGATGGGATGGCGTATCGCTGCAGAATGCTGTGGTAGCCATGCTAGTTAAGTGTGCCTTGAATTATAAATGAATCGCAGAAGGATTAACTGACCTTCATGTCTTAAAGTAATGATGGATTGTCGTTTGTCTTTTCTTATTTGAGCTGTTCTTGCCATAATATGGACTTGGTCTTTTACCAAATAGGGCTATCTTCTGTATACCACCCCTACAACTGATTGGCTCAAACGCATTAAGAAATAAAGAAATTCCACAAATTTACTTTTAAGAAGGCACACCTGTTAATTGAAATGCATTCCAGGTGACCACCTCATGAAGCTGGTTAAGAGAATGCCAAGAGTGTGCAAAGCTGTCATCAAGGCAAAGGGTGGCTATTTTAAAGAATCTCAAATATAAAATATATTTTGATTTGTTTAACACTTTTTTGATTAATACATGATTCTATTTGTGTATTTTTCATAGTTTTTATGTCTTCACTATTATTCTAAAATGCAGAAAATTGTAAAAATTAAGAAAAACCCTTGAATGAGTAGGTGTGTCCAAACTTTTGACTGGTAGTGTATATTATCCTCTTTCACCTCCATAGAAGTCCTTGGCCTGATATAGTGGCGCCGGGAATTTGGACACTGCCTGGGGCCTCCTGCTCTTGTCAAACTTGTCAAAGCTCCAGAAGGCCTTAGTTCCACCCTTACGGAGTCCGTAGATGATGGACCCTGAGGCTCCCACCTCCAGGCCCTCTCCCAGGAGAGTCAGGATATCTTGGGTCAGTTTGGCCTGGGTTTCATCCCGGACAGGTGGTGGACTGGGCAGAGAGACCAGATTCAGGCCAGAGTCTGGGTCCAGAAGCGGTTGTGTGAGTTCAGGTCTAGTAGAGACAGAGATACCTATTAGTCCATCAGGGCTAATCGTCCTGGGTTCATAATCAAAAACACAATAGACAAAAAAATGACAAACATGTAGCCTAGCTGTGCTATATGCCATTTTACCTGTAGACTAATCTGAACCCTGCCTCATTCTCAACCAGCTGCTCAGGCATCTTCACTCCCCGGTAGTACACAGACACCCTGAAATGGGTCTCTAGGGGAAGAAAGGAAAATAATAGATTGTTGTCAAGATGAGAGGAGGAACAACTAAACCTGGGGAAAGATACAGTGTTCTGTGCATGACCATATAGTGTCTAGATACAGCACTGAAACTATGGGTAAGCCCACGGGAGTGGCACTCCCATTATAAACCAGGGTTGTTTTCAGTAGAGAAAAAACATTTTGAAATGGAGGGAACAAGGAGGTTCAACTTGTTCATGTAGAACACAGATTGTGTTTTCTGTTGCAAAAACGTTTGGTTACAATGCCTGCTGAACACAATCTTGAGCACCCCTATAAGCATTGAAACTATTAACATTGGCAAGCCCACATATTACAATTTCAAATTATATACAGTGGGGAGAACAAGTATTTGATACACTGACGATTTTGCAGGTTTTCCTACTTACAAAGCATGTAGAGGTCTATAATTTTTATCATAGGTACACTTCAACTGTGAGCGACGGAATCTAAAACTAAAATCCAGAAAATCACATTGTATGATTTTTAAGTAATTAATTTGCATTTTATTGCATGACATAAGTATTTGATCACCTACCAACCAGTAAGAATTCCGGCTCTCACAGACCTTTTAGTTTTTCTTTAAGAAGCCCTCCTGTTCTCCACTAATTACCTGTATTAACTGCACCTGTTTGAACTCGTTACCTGTATAAAAGACACCTGTCCACACACTCAATCAAACAGACTCCAACCTCTCCACAATGGCTAAGACCAGAGAGCTGTGTAAGGACATCAGGGATAAAATTGTAGACCTGCACAAGGCTGGGATGGGCTACAGGACAATAGGCAAGCAGCGTGGTGAGAAGGCAACAACTGTTGGCGCAATTATTAGAAAATTGAAGAAGTTCAAGATGACGGTTAATCACCCTCGGTCTGGGGCTCCATGCAAGATCTCACCTCGTGGGGCATCAATGATCATGAGGAAGGTGAGGGATCAGCCCAGAACTACACGGCAGGACCTGGTCAATGACCTGAAGAGAGCTGGGACCACAGTCTCAAAGAAAACCATTAGTAACACACTACGCCGTCATGGATTAAAATCCTGCAGCGCACGCAAGGTCCCCCTGCTCAAGCCAGCGCATGTCCAGGCCCGTCTGAAGTTTGCTAATGACCGTCTGGATGATCCAGAGGAGGAATGGGAGAAGGTAATGTGGTCTGATGAGACAAAAATAGAGCTTTTTGGTCTAAACTCCACTCGCCGTGTTTGGAGGAAGAAGAAGGATGAGTACAACCCCAAGAACACCATCCCAACCGTGAAGCATGGAGGTGGAAACATCATTCTTTGTGGATGCTTATCTGCAAAGGGGACAGGACACTGCACCGTATTGAGGAGAGGATGGATGGGGCCATGTATCGCGAGATCTTGGCCAACAACCTCCTTCCCTCAGTAAGAGCATTGAAGATGGGTCGTGGCTGGGTCTTCCAGCATGACAACGACCCGAAACACACAGCCAGGGCAACTAAGGAGTGGCTCCGTAAGAAGCATCTCAAGGTCCTGGAGTGGCCTAGCCAGTCTCCAGACCTGAACCCAATAGAAAATCTTTGGAGGGAGCTGAAAGTCCGTATTGCCCAGCGACAGCCCCGAAACCTGAAGGATCTGGAGAAGGTCTGTATGGAGGAGTGGGCCAAAATCCCTGCTGCAGTGTGTGCAAACCTGGTCAAGACCTACAGGAAACGTATGATCTCTGTAATTGCAAACAAAGGTTTCTGTACCAAATATTAAGTTCTGCTTTCTGATGTATCAAATACTTATGTCATGCAATAAAATGCTAATTAATTACCTACAAATCATACAATGTGATTTTCTGGATTTTTGTTTTAAATTCCGTCTCTCACAGTTGAACTGTACCTATGATAAAAATTACAGACCTCTACATGCTTTGTAAGTAGGAAAACCTGCAAAATCGGCAGTGTATCAAATACTTGTTCTCCCCACTGTACCTTTTTCTAAGATATAGACACCAACTACTGTGTGAAGAGAAGCCAATTGGCATTAACTTCTCTTCAATTCTAACAACCACAAGTAGTAATCAAATAATATCCATAACTTACTAAAATTTTCGCCCACCATGGTTCTGGACAATGTATTTGTGAACTGCTCCACCACCTGCTGTTCATGGGCACCACCAACGACTCCATCCATTGGATACACTGGTTGCTCGGGCAACATGGCTCCTCCCACAGCATCCTCCATTACAACCGGATACAGCTGTTGCCCAGGCAAAACATGCCCTCCAATCGCGCCCTCCATTTGATATTGCTGTTGCTTGACGGGGAGTTCATAACCCTGAACAGCCTCTGCAGAAGAGGTTGGAAGAGTGAAGAGAAAGACTTGGATAATAGCCTATATTATGATAATTATTATGGGCCGGTTTCCCGGACACAGATTAAGCCTAGTGCTTTCTAGTCCAGAAAAAGGCTTAAAGATGCACTATGCTGAAATCACTCCGTTATTTCCTGGTTACTAAAATTCTAATAGTTCACCTAATTTCAGTTTAAGTGACAAAACAAGCAAGTATAATGTATAGAATCATTGAACCATCGAAACTGCTGTGAAATATATTTTCCATAACTACTGGTAGCTCGCGATTGACCTGTTGGAGGCCCCTGGTCTAGAGTACCACATTGGAATGGTTGGTTCCTACCTGTTTGTTCAATGTTCAACCCTTGCAGACATTCCTGAAGTATATCCTGGTTGAAAGTGGTGGAGATCCCCTCCGCTGGTGAGTAGTTGTGGGAAAGATTATGAGTGAAGACATAACATGAGATAACAAAAGAGACATAGTACATTTCATAAATGTAAAATTACCCTACTTCTCCAGACTTTTAGATTGCATTAAACATCATACATTTCCTGAAAGCTTGTCATTAAATTGTCACGTTAAACTTTTATCTGCATTACCTGTGTATACAGTTTCTTCTGCTGTACAGTAAAGGTCATCAAAAGATGGTAGACCATGACTCTAAAAGAGCAGAGGTGGGGAAAAAGAAGAAAAGATTTTACAGTACAGGCACTGCATTTCATTCACAAGAAGTGAGAATTCTTATAAGCACACTCACTTTTTGTAATGGACTGGGATCTTGATACAGATCAGGTTCCGGGTCCTGAGATCCTTTAGAGATGGACAAGGTTGAAGAGAGAGAAAACTAAAAGATTGAGTGTAATTTCATCTCATTTAGATATACTGTAATATTGTTGCAACTTTCACTAAATGTTTACCTCTTGGCCAATTACTGTAAATTAAAGAGAACGTGTTGTATTTGCTCAAATTTCACTCCTATGTCACATCCATATGTCATTGTTTTAATAATAATTCAAGCATTGAATTGTTGTTTTCCCTTTGTTTTTTTGGTTGGTGCTTTACCTCCCGTGGGTGCCTCATCTGGCCACTGGAACAGTTTGTGGGGGTTGGCTGCATCATTTTTGTTGTCAAAGAGCATTTTGAACCCCTTGGCTCGGAGGGCAGCACGGAAGTTTCTCTTCCAGATGGAGGGGTCGCCTTGAGCCCTGCCATTGCTAACCTCAGCCCACCCCTAAGGAGGAGAAGTGGGGGCTGTATCATACCAGCTGTATTTCTGTATTTTGAAAGTTATATATCTTGAAAACTTGATTGCTAACATGCAACACATTTTGGGACTATAAACAATGGGCTAATGAAACAATAAACTTTCCTTTAAGCATTGGGAGCAGTAAATGGTGAGTAACACTGTTATTATTTATTTTTTAAGTGAAGAGTGAGATATTGACTTTACCTTGAAAATAAGTACATCATCGCTGCAGGAATCCTGCCTCAAAGCATGTTTCCATGGAATGCAGAACTCTGTTCGCTCCTGATTGGTCCAGGTAACCCCTGGGTACTGGCCACTATTTATCTGTTCCCGCAACCAAGGGATGAGGAGCGGTTTGGATTGAGACATTTCTGAATCTAAAAGGGTTAAAGAAGAGCATTGTTAATTTGTGACAGCCTGTGTCCACTGGGGACAATATGTATAAAATAAAAGGTGGTCAGTATAGTCAGTATCTTTCTGTAAATCACATACCTAAATTATTAAGGAAAAAAAAAATCGTTATTTTTTACTCTTTAAAAAAGATGAAAAAGCAAGACACATGCATTTACATACACAGACTGCAAATGATAGAAGCGATAGAATGAAAAAAAGTTAAAGTAACAGTCATAGGGGTCATCATATTACAAAAATGCAAGCTTTTTAAAGTCAGAGATAATCAAAATATAGCCAAGCATTCAGATTAGACGGTACATTCGCATTGAAAATTATAAACAGGGGTTGAGTATTCATATGCTTTGTGTAAAAATAATTCGACAAATGCCACACATATATTACACATCTATGGATGTATCTATGTATTTAAAAACTGCTATGATTCTGGTTTAGGCTGTGTATCATAGATTATGGATTTTAAAGAAATGCAACTACTATATCTGTATCATAAATGTATCCATTGTGCATGTTACGCATAATCCTAGCTACTCATTGCTAGTTCAGGACCGTAACCAATCATATTACCAGAGATTACTCACACACACACACACTGGTAACGTTAGCGAATTTACATTTGCATTAGATTGAGTAACGCTAAAAAGAATTGCACCTACAAAGAATTGCACATTTAAAGGTCCTCTTACCTACGAATCAGTATTGTCTGGGTTAAAGTAAAGCTCAGTGTGGTAATTATCCTTAGATATATTATGCAAAAAATGTCAAGTGTGTATCGACCGTGCCTACAGAAACTGCCATCAAATTCAAAATGAGGTATATGTATGTCCTATCAAGCGACTTTTCTAAGGCTTTCTTGGGAAATCCCGTGTCTTCAGTTTCGTTTTCCAGTTTCTACGTCACAAACAGCTCTGAGGTAACTTCCCTTTTGTGATCTATCCAATACCACTAGGTGGCGTAGTTACACTATTTCAAAATGAAATCAAATTGTATTGGTCGCCTACACATAAATTATTTTGCAGATGTTATCGCAGGTGCAGCGAAATGCTTATGTTTCTAGCTCCAACAGTGCAGTAATACCGAACAATACACACAAATCCAAAAAATAAAAAAGACAGAAATCAAGCAAATATCCGAACGAACAATGAGTCCGGAATATAAATATATATGTATAATGATGGTGTGTATATAGAGAATATGGACAGTATAAGAATTTAAAAGGTGTGTACAGCATTGACGTCACCAGACCCGGGCTTTCGGGGCTTCAGCCCCGAATGATTTTGTCTCAGCCCCGAGTCTTTTGACCTGCTGAGATGGTGTAAAACAATCTACTGTAGGCTACACTGCATTACACACCGCAATGAATACTCCAAACATGAGCCCTGGCCTGCCCTGTCTTTTTAGTGCTGCCATTTCTGTGTACGGTGGCACTTTAGGAGGCGGAGTCAAAGTGGTTTTCCAAAGTCATTTTTGATTTGTGGGGACTGTTCATTCTCTGACAAAGATTTGTATAACTAAACCAAGATAGACCACAGCCGGTCGTTTTCAATGGAAACAAATGAGCGATAGTGGGCAGAACAAGCAAGGAGGGAGGCAGAGCCAAGCACGAGCTAGCGAGATCCTACTGGCGCGTTCTATCATAATCTGTATATTTCCGTTAGGGAACGCCTACTTTGTGAAGTGCGCGTGTGCAATAGCTCAATTTGCCTTTCCACTCCTTCTAAACGCGATTTTTTAAAACTTTTGCAAAGGGTAAAGTCTACAAACCTTAGTCCACTCTGTTCACAACATATTCTAGTTTTGGGAACAGAAAACTGTATTGAGATCAAATGTTTCATCGGTGAGAAAATGTGCAGACTTTTGGGCAAAATCCATCTTCTCCCAATGCCCACCAGTGGAAATGCCAAGCGGATGCTTCATATTTAAAAATCCCGTGAAATATGTGTTTCATTGTTCTGTGGCGCAAAGATGAGGAGAACTGGAGGTAAACTTGGTTAGCTTGTTATTACTATAGCACATTTTGTTAGCCCATGATGATGTTATTTAGAGTTATTGACCTCACAGTAAGCCAGATTCGAGTAATTTACATTTCAACATGTTGACTCAAACGCTGCACTGACAGATAACGTTAAGCTAACTAACTAACGTGAGGGACTACCCAGTCTATCTAGCAGTGCTGCTTCATTAGCAACCTAGACAATTTTATGAGCAGGGTTTTGACAGTACAGTTATTGATTAGCTATCTGGACACTGAATCCAACTGCCTGAGCTCTGTTCACCACCCGACAAAGTATCACTAACTAACCAATTACTGTCTAAGTACTGTCAAAATATGCAAAAAAAATACTAATAAAGAAAGCTATCTAATTTAAGGCTAACATGACGTTAGCTACTTTTGGTAACGTCAGCTCAATAAGGTGTTGAAAAAACAAAGCTGGATAGTTTAGTTAATTTCTTTGCCAATTTATAGAAGATGGATTTACGGAATTGAAGATGCAGCTCAGCAAACACAGAGACGGTTGTTGTATTTGCAGGAGTAAGTGAATAGATTGTGTGTGTTTACAATATATATTTTGCATCTAGCTACATAGATGGGTTGGCTGACAACGTCACGAAAACGATGTGCGCGCTTCCATGGCATGGGGCATAAATCAGCCTGTTGTGATTCTGGATGGCCAGATTGCTAGCAAGAATGACACTGCCATGTGGGGAATCATAAGTGGCTTATTTCATCATGTTATTCATATCATCTTGTTTTGAGGTGTTTTGACTGATTTCATGTCAATGCAAATATGGCTAATATTCGCTAGCTAGCTTACCAACAACTGTAATGATGTATTTGAAACAAGTGTACATTGTGCAAATGTATTTGTTTTCAATAAACATTGGAGACGAAATATAGCTTACATGTTAACAATCTAAGCCAACCTCATCGGTTTTGCCCCATGGTTGCATGCATTTCGATATTGTTTTGTTGCTATATCGACAGAGAACACCGGTATTGTGGTTAGTGAAGGTAAGACAGTTGAACGTTAATCAGGTTTAAGATTGAGTGAACTGCTAATATCATTAAGGAACAGAAATTATCCCGGATTTTACCTTTAGCTCAATTCAGGTAAACATTATTTGCCTGTTGTTCATGTTGTGTGTGTGTGTGCGTATATTGCTTCTCTGTGTGTTTGTCTGTTCAGAATACTCCATATTGCTACGGCACTGATATTATGCCGTCTCTGTAATAATTTAGGAGATCGAGGAAAGCAGAACTTCAGACAGCAAGGAAGAGAGGGGGGCAGACAGGACAGGGCGAGAACACAGGACAGGCCCACATAAAACAAACATGGCATATTCCTCTCAAGTCAGAGGAAGTAGTCATTGCTAAACATTACCTCTAAAAAATTTTTTTTCCTGTGTGTATATATTGTTAGACCCTGATATGTTCCCATCACTGAAGGCAATCATACAGGCCGCACTGACCATCCCATTTAACAGATGTGAGAGATCTTTCAGTGCATTAAGACAGTCTACATACCTGGCTTAGGAGCCCAATGACCCAAGATAGAATGCATCATGACAATTGACAAATATATACATACTAACACACTTGGGAAAGAGTGAAGTCATAGACAGGTTTGCTCCTACAGTTTCATTTTGTTTAATTTCTAATCTTTATGAACTAACATCCTAGTACTGTGTAATATAACTCGCGAACATTGTGAATATTTAGTTGGAGAAAGGATTGTATGTTAGTATGTACATGTGTGTAAAATGGTGAAGTGTTAATACAGGAGTGTTGGCTGTGGTGTATTTGTTTTTGTGTAATTAATTAGGTGGAAATATTGTCCTGTAGCTACTTGACCTTGGGTTGTGATTTAACACAAATATGATAAAATCATGATTTTCAAGCGTGTTTAGTGTGTGCGTTTGAACTGCAAAAGTTGTCCCCCCACACCCCACTCTAGTTATAATGCAAACCCACTGCTGTGAGTTTATGCAGTTTCAACATAATTCAAAGGATGGCAGTCTAAAATCCCAATCCTGCTATATTGCACGTAACGAGTTTTCATGCAAAACATTAATTTATGGTTTAGGCTGCCATCATTTGGATTATTTTGGAACTGCACAATGTGCACAGCATGACTAGCTCGCATTAGTTAACAGTAATGTGACCAAAATCAACATGAGGCTTTTTTTATTAACAATCAAATATTATACATGGTTTATGAAAACATTGCAACAAAATGATAAATACTTTCCCCCAAAGAAATTCATGGAAAATTACGATGTAGTTATGCACTTGTACTTTGTACTTGCTAATAGATTAAAAATAGTATACTGACACCATATTCCATGGTTTTACTGACCACAATCCATTGAATTAATATTAATTCCCCCGGAGTCAACCCCTGGTCTTCAGGGCTGAGCCCCGGATGTTCTGAATGTCTAGTGATGTCCCTGGTATACAGCAGTAGTTATACAGGATGAGCATTGACTAGAATACAGTAATATACATATGAAGTGGGTAAAACAACAGTATGTTAACATTATTAAAGTGACCAGTGTTCAATGACTATGTACATAGGTCAGCAGTCTCTTATGGAGGACTAAAAGTGCCACAATTAAATAAATAAATACACCATTAAATAATTACTTAAATGTGTCATTAATTAATTAAAATTAGAATTAAATACATAAATGTGTAATTAAATGTATCATTAATTAATTCAAATACCGATTCATTTTATGTAAAATACATATATAATTATTTCACTATTTACATTTACATTTCATGATCCTGCATTGCAGTGATTCATGAATTACTTAAAACTGTCAAACTGACCCATCAAAGTCAGTGGGCGGGGCTAACGCGAATCTAGTCTGATCCATTGCTTTGGTCTGAAGTAGAGTAGGCCAACCTGGATAGAGACAATGGAGGATCTCCGTGAACTTTCCAGGGAGTTGGTTAGAGACATTTTAAACTTAGCAGAGGATGTAGAAGCAGGACCTGCTGACATTATCCGGAATTGATTTGTCTTGGCTTGATGCAGAGGGTAACCAATCAGGCGTTAGGTTCCGCCTACCAACTTTTGATGGGTCAGTTTGACAGTTTTAAGTAATTCATGAATCACTGCAATGCAGGATCATGAAATGTAAATGTAAATAGTGAAATAATTATATATGTATTTTACATAAAATGAATCGGTATTTGAATTAATTAATGATACATTTAATTACACATTTATGTATTTAATTCTAATTTGAATTAATTAATGACACATTTAAGTAATTATTTAATGGTGTATTTATTTATTTAATTGTGGCACTTTTAGTCCTCCATAGTCTCTAAGGTGCAGGGTAGAGTACCGGGTGGTTACAGTGACTAAGTTCAGGGCAGGGTACTGGGCGGAGGCTGGCTAGTGGTGACTATTTAACAGTCTGATGGCCTGGAGATTGAAGCTGTTTTTCAGTCTCGGTCCCAGCTTTGATGCACCTGTACTGTCTCTGCCTTCTAGATCAGGGGTGTCAAACTCATTTCGTGGAGGGCTTAATGTCGGCTGGTTTTTGTATTTTACTTTCAATTAAGACCTAGCCAACCAGGTGAGGAGTTCCTTACTAATCAGTGACCTTAATTCAATCAATCAAGTACAAGGGAGGAGTGAAAACCCGGGCACACACTTCCCTCTGTGGAACGAGGGACAGTTGATACCGCGTTTCTGTCTCGTTCACCCCACTACCTAGATGGTAGTGGGGTGAACAGGCCTCCTGAGGTTGAAGAGGTGCTGTTGTTGCACCTTTTTCACCACACTGTCTGTGTGGATGGACCATTTCAGGTTGTCAGTGATGTGCACGCCGAGGAACTTGAAGCTTTTCACCTGCTCTCTGCTGTCTCCTGAAGTCCACAATCAGCTCCTTTGTTTTGTTGACGTTGAGGGAGAGGCCTTCACCTCATCGTTGTTGGTAAACAGGCCTACCACTTGTGTCGTCTGCAAACTTGATGATTGAGTTTGAGATGTGCGTGGCCACGCAGTCATGGGTGAACAGGGAGTACAGGAGGGGGCTGAGCATGCACCCTTGTGGGGCCCGAGTGTTGAGGATCAGCATAGCGGAGGAGTTGTTGCATTTCATATACATTCATTGATTTCAACAAATTGTCCTTTGCAGGTTTTATTTGTTTTTCAAATACAGGGTTAATGTACAGAAGAAAACAATGTGTCAAGAACTGTACAATATTTACACAAATACTTTCTTTCGAAGGAACATTTGATTTACTTATTTTGGAAACATAGTAATATGCACAAACATCAAACTGATAAAAATGAAATGACTATTTCCTCTTTAAATATTACTTATTTATAACCACTCATGTAAGGGAACTGGACACGGTTATTAGTTTCTTTCACTTTGAACCTGCATCATTCTGATGAATGAACTAAAGCACTACAATGTCTAAGTTTCAAATATACTCTCCCATTCTCCCCTTTTACAGACAGTTGATACTGCGTTTGTCTCATCCTCCCATCTTTTGTATAGGAAAAAAAAGGAAGACAGCTCGGATATGTGGGTGTACAATATTATGTATAACCTGTGAAAAATGTTACTTCAAATGCTAAGGCGGCATCCCAGCGCTTGTGAGAGTTTATATTAAAAACCTCATATAAATAATACAAATGTGTTTATATACTACCACATAGCGCGCCGGTACTGCCGACTACTGTCACAGAGCGAGCAAGAGAATTAACACCTTTATGTTGCATCCTTTCCACAGACAAGCCCATATAGTCACACCGCTCACAGCACTCCTCTAATGCAATGTTTTAAAAAGCATTCTCGCCCACGTCCACTTGTTAAAAGCCGTTATAGTCTTTAAAATATAATTTATGTAAAAACGAAACTAATAGATTCTCTCTGAACCGTTTTGGACTGACGCAGTTTTACAATGTCAGTATGACAACCCTCCGTGACTTGGTGCAATAGCTCCTCCTTTTGCCTTGTCTTTTCTCTGTGACCCCTAACGTTGGTCTTTGTCTCCTGATTGGTCAGTCTCCTCTCTTGACCCATCAGGGACGACCCCAGCTCCTGTGGGGTCATCATCCATTCTCAAGGTCAAGTAATTTCTATATTTTAGTAATTGAGCAACTAAGGAGAAGTCACTCTCCAAGGTCACACCTACCAACCTTCTTGTTCCTAGAGTGGCCTTTCAAATTGTCAGACCCACACGACTCCAGGTGGGATGGGGCCTCTATACAACTCTATTCCTCGTTTCCACTCGTTCACCCACCTCTCCGTTTCTGGGGCCCTAGTTTCTGTGCCTTGTGTTCTTTGGCTCGCCCTCTTTCTTTCCATCTTCCTTCCCCTCGGTCTGTCTCTCAGGCCTTGGTGCTGAGTGTGAGCAGCTCGATGAAGGAGTTGAAGAGGGTGTCCAGCCAGCCCTGGTTGGCCATACACTGCTGCACCACCTCCTCCTGCCCAGGGTCCTCAGCTGCCTGCTCTATAGTGTTGGTCTGCCGGGGAAGACAGAATATAAACTCAATATATGATGTCTGCCAAGGAAACACAAAAATAAGCACAATATATATTTTGACTATGGTAATAGTATGTCTATTTGAAAAATAGAAGTACATGTGTCTCTAGGCTATAGTGTATCTACCCAAGGAATAAACAATATATGATGTATGCTGGGAAAACACAATATTAATATAAACACAATATTTAGAATTCCTATCAACCATTGTTGATTGGCAATGAAGTATGAATTTAATTTAGTTGACTATGTCAGCAGGGGACATATGAAACACAATATATATTACGACTCTTAAGCTTGTGTCTTTAAGCAATGATATGGGAATTAAAAACACATGGACTAATATTTCTGCTGGGTAAATTGAAAAAAAGTATTTAAATAAACCACAGCAGGGGAGAAAAATAACTGTTCTTGATACACTATTTAAATATCGCAACAAGATAAATATATATCAAAAGAGGCCTATCTATTACAATAGTATAAAATACAGGTCTGATGTCCTTACCTCTTTCTTACAGTGTAAGAATGTATGATATTTATAATGATGCAGGGAGTGATAGAGGCTGTAGATCCGACAGGATTCTGTTGACAGTTTAAGCTCCTGGGGGGAAAGACAGAGATTAAACTAATAGATTAAAAACAATATATGAAGAAAAAGAAATCCACATATAATCAAGGTTCAACAGCGCGACATGGAAATACACACACTTTATCAACTTATGAAAGAGATGGACAACCAAACCCCTCCAACACACAGAATTACCTACAAACACACACCTGTGGTTTGGGTAGGCTCTTCTTGACTCCATTGAGAGTCTTACGGTTGTAGCCCTCCCCACTGAACTGCACCCTCACAGCTCCTGAGTCCAGGGGGTCCGCCGACATCTGAGGGTACGTGTGCAGGGCCTCCTAAACAGGTGGAGAGAGAGAAAAGGGAAGGCCAGATGATGAAAAAAGGTAGACCTTGAATATTGAAAGGCTAGAACTTCTAGGTGCCCAATCCTTGTATCAGTTGTCTTTTGAGGTCAAATAGAAACATAAAATATATTATTCTATAAAACAAATATAAAATGTACATTGATGAGAATCCTGCAAACAAATACATACAACAGATGGACAGAGAGACTGAGTGAAGAAAACATTAGGAACACCTGCTCTTTCCATGACAGACTGACCAGGTGAATCCAGGTGAACGCTATGATCCCTTATTGATGTCACTTGATAAATCTACTTCAATAAGTGTAGATGAAGAGGAGGAGACAGGTTGAAGAAGGATCTTTAAGATTTGAGACAATTGAGACATTGATTGTGTATGTGTGCCATTCAGAGGGTGAATGGGCAAGCAAACTGATTTAAGTGCCTTTGAACAGGGTATGGTAGTAGGTGCTAGGCGCACCAGTTTAAAGGTGTGTCGAGAACTGCAACGTCGCTGGGTTTTTCACGCTCAACAGTTTCCCGTGTGTATCAAGAATGGTCCACCACCCAAAGGACATCCAGCCAACTTGACAAAACTGTGGAAAGCATTGGCGTCAACATAGGCCAGTATCCCTGCGGAATGCTTCTGACACCTTGTAGAGTCCATGCCCCGACGAATTGAGGCTGTTCTGAGGGCAAATGGGGGTGCAACTCAATATTAGGAAGGTATATACCCACACACACATACAGTACCAGTCAAAAGTTTGGACACTCCTACTCATTCAAGGCTTTTTCTTAATTTGTACTATTTTCTACATTGTAGAATAATAGTGAAGACATCAAAACTATGAAATAACACATATGGAATCATGTAGTAACCAAAAAAGTGTTAAACAAATCAAAATATATTTTATATTTGAGATTCTTCAAATAGCCACCCTTTGCCTTGATGACAGCTTTGCACACTCTTGGCATTCTCTCAACCAGCTTCATGAGGTCGTCACCTGGAATGCATTTCAATTAACTGGTGTGCCTTTTTAAAAGTGAATCTGTGGAATTTCTTTCCTTCTTCATGCGTTTGAGCCAATCAGTTGTGTTGTGACAAGGTAGGAGTGGTATACAGAAGATAGCCCTATTTGGTAAAATACCATATTATGGCAAGAACAGCTCAAATAAGCAAAGAGAAACGACAGTCCATCATGACTTTAAGACATGAAGGTCAGTCAATACGGAAAATATCAAGAACTTTGTATGTTTCTTCAAGTGCATTCGCAAACACCATCAAGCGTTATGATGAAACTGGCTCTCATGAGGACCGCCACAGGAATGGAAGACCCAGAGTTACCTCTGCTGTGTGTATATGTGTGTGTACAGTTGAAGTCGGAAGTTTACATACACCTAGGTCATTAAAACTTGTTTTTCAACCACTCCACAAATGTCTTGTTAACAAACTATACTTTTGGCAAGTTGGTTAGGACATCTACTTTGTGCATGAAACAAGTAATTTTTCCAACAATTGTTTACAGGCAAATTATTTCACTTATAATTCACTCTATCACAATTCCAGTGGGTCAGAAGTTAACAGACACTAAGTTGACTGTGCCTTTAAACAGCTTGGAAAATTCCAGAAAATTATGTCATGGCTTTAGAAGCTTCTGATAGGCTAATTGACATCATTTGAGTCAATTGGAGGTGTACCTGTGGATGTATTTCAAGGCCTACCTTCAAACTCAGTGCCTCTTTGCTTGACATGATGGGAAAATCAAAAGAAATCAGCCAAGACCTCAGAAAAAGAATTGTAGACCTGGTTCATCCTTGGGAGCAATTTCAAAACACCTGAAGGTACCACGTTCCTCTGTACAAACAATTGTACGCAAGTATAAACACCATGGGACCAGGCAGCCGTCATACTGCTCAAGGAGACGCGTTCTGTCTCCTAGAGATGAACGTACTTTGATGCGAAAAGTGCAAATCAATCCCAGAACAGCAGCAAAGGACCCTGTGAAGATGCTGGAGGAAACATGTTCAAAAGTATCTATATCCACAGTAAAACGAGTCCTATATCGACATAACCTGAAAGGCCGCTCAGCAAGGAAGAAGCCACTGCTCCAAAACCGCCATAAAAAAGACAGACTACAGGTTTCAACTGCACATGGGGACAAAGATCGTACTTTTTGGAGAAATGTCCTCTGGTCTGATGAAACTAAAATAGAACTGTTTGGCCATAATGACCATCACTATGTTTGGAGGAAAAAGGGGGTCGGCTTACAAGCCAAAGAACACCATCCCAACCGTGAAGCACGGGGGTGGCATCATCATGCTGTGGGGGTGCTTTGGTGAAGGAGGGACTGGTGCACTTCACAAAATAGATGGCATCATGAAGAAGGAAGATTATGTGGATATATTGAAGCAACATCTCAAGACATCAGTCAGGAAGTTAAAGATTGGTCGCAAATGGGTTTTCCAAATTGACAATGACCCCAAGCATACTTCCAACGTTGTTGCAAAATGGCTTAAGGACAACAAAGTCAAAGTATTGGAGTGGCCATCACAAAGCCCTGACCTCAATCCTATAGAGAAGTTGTGGGCAGAACTGAAAAAGCGTGTACGAGCAAGGATGCCTACAAACCTGACTCAGTTACACCAGCTCTGTCAGGAGGAATGGGCCAAAATTCACCCAACTTATTGTGGGAAGCTTGTGGAAGGCTACCCAAAACGTTTGACCCAAGTTAAACAATTTAAAGGCAATGCTACCAAATACTAATTGAGTGTATGTAAACTTCTGACCCACTGGGAATGTGATGAAATAAATAAAAGCTTAAATAAATCATTCTCTCTATTATTATTCTGATATTTCACATTCTTAAAATAAAGTGGTGATCCTAACTGACCTAAGACAGGGAATTGTTACTAGGATTAAATGTCAGGAATTGTGAAAAACTGAGTTTAAATGTATTTGGCTAAGGTGTATGTAAACTTCCGACTTCAACTGTAATATATATATATATATCTCAAAAAAATAAAGGGAACATTTAAACAACACACCCTAGATCTGAATGAATGAAATAATCTTATTAAATACTTTTTTCTTTACATAGTTGAATGTGCTGACAACAAAATCACACAAAAATTATCAATGGAAATCAAATGTATCAACCCATGGAGGTCTGGATTTGGAGTCACCCTCAAAATTAAAGTAGAAAACCACACTACAGGCTGATCCAACTTTGATGTAATGTCCTTAAAACAAGTCAAAATGAGTGTGGCCTCCACGTGCCTGTATGACCTCCCTACAACGCCTGGGCATGCTCCTGATGAGGTGGCGGATGGTCTCCTGAGGGATCTCCTCCCAGACCTGGACTAAAGCATCCGCCAACTCCTGGACAGTCTGTGGTGCAACGTGGCGTTGGTGGATGGAGCGAGACATGATGTCCCAGATGTGCTCAATTGGATTCAGGTCTGGGGAACGGGCGGGCCAGTCCATAGCATCAATGCCTTCCTCTTGCAGGAACTGCTGACACACTCCAGCCACATGAGGTCTAGCATTGTCTTGCATTAGGAGGAACCCAGGGCCAACCGCACCAGCATATGGTCTCACAAGGGGTCTGAGGATCTCATCTCGGTACCTAATGGCAGTCAGGCTACCTCTGGCGAGCACATGGAGGGCTGTGCGGCCCTCCAAAGAAATGCCACCCCACACCATGACTGACCCACCGCCAAACCGGTCATGCTGGAGGATGTTGCAGGCAGCAGAACATTCTCCACGGCGTCTCCAGACTCTGTCACGTCTGTCACATGTGCTCAGTGTGAACCTGCTTTCATCTGTGAAGAGCACAGGGCGCCAGTGGCGAATTTGCCAATCTTGGTGTTCTCTGGCAAATGCCAAACGTCCTGCACGGTGTTGGGCTGTAAGCACAACCCCCACCTGTGGACGTCGGGCCCTCATACCACCCTCATGGAGTCTGTTTCTGACCGTTTGAGCAGACACATGCACATTTGTGGCCTGCTGGAGGTCATTTTGCAGGGCTCTGGCAGTGCTCCTCCTGCTCCTCCTTGCACAAAGGCGGAGGTAGCAGTCCTGCTGCTGGGTTGCTGCCCTCCTACGGCCTCCTCCACGTCTCCTGATGTACTGGCCTGTCTCCAGGTAGCGCCTCCATGCTCTGGACACTACGCTGACAGACACAGCAAACCTTCTTGCCACAGCTCGCATTGATGTGCCATCCTGGATGAGCTGCACTACCTGAGCCACTTGTGTGGGTTGTAGACTCCGTCTCATGCTACCACTAGAGTGAAAGCACCGCCAGCATTCAAAAGTGACCAAAACATCAGCCAGGAAGCATAGGAACTGAGAAGTGGTCTGTGGTCACCACCTGCAAAACCAGTCCTTTATTGGGGGTGTCTTGCTAATTGCCTATAATTTCCACCTGTTGTCTATTCCATTTGCACAACAGCATGTGAAATTTATTGTCAATCAGTGTTGCTTCCTAAGTGGACAGTTTGATTTCACAGAAGTGTGATTGACTTGGAGTTACATTGTGTTGTTTAAGTGTTCCCTTTATTTATATTCATATGATCCAACTACATCGATCTGTGCTCGGCGAGTTGGCCTTTTGGACAACATATATCGATCTAACATCGTTTTAAAATGTAATAAATCGATTGTATCGATACTAGGAAATAACCCATTGGATTTAAGCACGTCAGACTTTATATGCAGGGGTGCACATAACTGGTACGCAGATACGCAAGCGCGACAAAAATCAGGAATGCGTAATGCCACTTGTGTTACTACGCGCCTTTGCGTACTTGACCGATCTTCTCATCTAACCTTACACATGACATGTTGCTTGTCAACTACTGTCAGGGATGTCCAAAAAGCAACAGACATTAAGCAGCTTCTTTGGCGTTTCGCCACCTACAAAGAAACGCCAACTGGAGCCAGAGCCGAAGAAAATACTTTTTTCGGAAAAGTGGCTCCAAGATGTGCAGTGGCT